ACACACACACACACACACACACACACACACACACACACACACACACACACACAGACGTATGGCGTTGCAGTGGCAAGGCGGACATTGGGGACAGCCACAGCTCTATTGTCACATGGCTTCACTGCTCACACATCATTATCCCAGCAGCTGTTACTTCACAGCGCCGCAACATGAACACACACATCAATACACATTAGCTAGCAAGTTCGTAAGAACACAGTTTTTGTTCCATTTTGCACCTTCCAATCCTGCATTGAGGTACTGAGGTAGCGACACTGTAGAATTCTGCTCATGATTTTCACTAAAGAGACTGTCAGGCAGTGTGTGGATTTGAAACTCGAACAACACTCCGGTGTCGGTCCATGGGTGGTTGCCCTCAGACGGTCTCTCCATCACTGCTTCTATAGAACCACAGTGATTCCATTTTAAACTCTTTTTTTCGTCAATCAAGAAGAAATATTCTTGATGGGACTGATAATTCATTTGTATCAGTCTCATCAAGAACCCGAACGCAAATCCCACTATTAGCAACGCTGTCACATTCCTTGATTCTGGCGTCTAACCACAGTACAATGTTAACTTTTTTAAAGTGATGTTCCCATCAACCTCAGCTTTGTGTTCAGAACCAGTTAGCAATCTTAGCTTCAGCGTGTTCATGCGTGAAAATACAGCTGAGGCTGCCAAACGTTTTCAATGTCAACGTGTCTACACTGAGTGTAGTTTAGCCTATAATGTCAATGGGTCACAAAAGTCAATAGGATCATTTTTTTAGGAAGCACGTACAGTATGTAATGGCAAGAAAACAGCAGACCAGCCGAGCAGCACTGGAATCCCTGGAGCAAAGCCCCCAGCATGGAGAAGAACCAGTGGCTTTGCACCATGAGTGGGTACAAATGGCTCTCCAGGCCACTGGAGAGCAACCAGGCCTTGCTTCTGAGTCCTCCGCTCTTTAAGGAGACAGACACATGAGCTGGCATCCCAGACTGTATGGGACGGGTCCTCACAAGGACGCAGTGCCAAACACACACGGCTCGGCCATTTTGTGGGTGAGTGGGTTTCTGTGCTCCAGGCTGGCGACAGACCTTGACAGCATATGGCGATACTTCAGTGTTTGAGGGCCAATACAAGCAGCCTTTGGGCAGCTTCGTCCTGCCTGTGGCCACGTTCAGGCTCTCACGGGGCTCTGGAGTACGTGAGTCAATTGCTTCTACAATTAGGGATTTGTCATCAGATAGTTGTGTTAAGTCCTTTTGTGTGTGATGACACTGTGGGGTTGCTGACAGAATGAGGAAAGCATATGAAAATAAAACAGCTTTCAAGGGAGAGATTGATCACTATTAATGATAGAAGACTGTGTATAATATTACAGTAACATGATTGTGGCAGTAGCAGTCCTTCACTCGTACTGAAGAACTGGATGGCCTAAGAGATGGAACGCCTTCCTGAACTCATTTTGTCCTGAAGGAAAACCTATTTATAAGTTGAGATTTTTTTTGGAACATTAAAAAGCATCCTGTTCCGACAGGAAAATATAATGCGTGGAATAAAACTACTAGTATTTCATCTAATTGAAATCATTTTAAATGAGCAAACAAATGTCTAGGAGGTTCAAGCAGGATGGACTCCGTGTACTTGTCTTGTGTCGCAGTCCTTACACGTCTCCTCTACACAACATCACCGGCCTCAATTAGCTGCATCCTTGATATGAACCGTGAGCTCCTCGGAGCCTCACTGACGTGCTCGTTGTTTGTGCAGCTCATTAGAAAGTGAGTGGACCTACAGAGGAGCAGAGGGGAGCATGTGGATCGCTGGTCCCTGCTGCCCTCGCTGAGTCCAGTGTGCTGTCCCTGCACGTCCTGGGCAGGACGCAGGGGTCTCCAACAAACAGCCCTGAAAACATTGCAGAACTTTGTGATCTGCAGTGGGAGGCTGCCTGGGCGCTTTTGGCTCACGGGCTCGTTTTTGTCTGATTCTTCGTTATGACACAGTACAGCTGGGACACCTGTTGGACCTACAGAACGTTTGGGAAGAATACGCACATGTTTCCATTCCAAGGCTGAGAGTACGTTGAACAGCATGCCGTGGTGTAAGGCGCTGGTTGCGTAAAAGAAGGCAGGGGGCCGCCTGTAACTCCACACAATAATTAGTATGGCGTTACGTCTATGAACAGTGTTTCCATTCACATATTTCGAAGCACATGTAAAGACTGGTATGGGAAGGGCAACTCCTCAGAGCTGTTAGGTTCACCTGACGTGGTTGTAGAATGAATTCACTAAATGGATTATTGAAACAGTTGCTAAAGACTTATCAGTCACGTGACTAATCAGCTGTTCCTGCTGTCAGCATCTTTCCAGATCCTCCAATAACAAACAGCCGTCAGCACGAAAACATAGACAAGTGCTATTGGAAAAGAAAGAAGCCAATTCCTGTCCAAGTTCTTTTCATAAATGGGTTAAATGTCCAGTAATGAGCAGTAATGACCAAAGGGGAAAGAAAACCACGGACTGGGAAAAGTCAAATGTACTTTCATTGTCCAGATGATCCATAACCCACCCTACAGCCTGCCATCTATCCCTCTCTTACACTGCGTCCTTCCATCCTGACACCTCTTATTGTCCCTCTCACACCCTCCTCTGTTGACACGCGTCCTTCGTCTCTCTCATTTACCCAAACCAGCGCCACAGGCCTCAGCTGTCGTCCGTTAGTATTCTGGCTGCCAAAGCCGAGACCACAGGGCGCCTTGGCAGTCACACAATGACACACACACACACACCCCTCCTCATCTGGCATCCTCCAAGCAAAGGCTGATTCTGTGTTTTGCGCATGTTTGCTGATGGGTTCCTGCGACAGACTAATAGACCAGGGACTTTCACTCCTGCTCATTTGGTATTTCGTCCATTATTTTCTCCTTCTCATTCCCCTTGCAGTAATGATTCCAAACCAATACATGGTTTGCATTATTGATGAAACGGCCCCGTTCCCCCTCACCCAGTCTGTCTGGACAGAGGGATGGAGGGGTAAGGGGATGGATGGTAGTAGGGAGGGGTGGGAATCTCTTGGCACCCCACGATTTGATTCGATTCCGATTATCGATTCTAAACTGATAAAACGATTATCAATACATCTGTATTTTCTGAGTTTGCTCCTCAGAGGTTGCTAATCACTTCCTACTTTATTTGATATTTAAAGAAAATGAACAGATGAATTACCTTCTCTAATTTTTTATTGGAGAAAAAAAATCTTTGTCACAAATATGATTTTCTATCAACAATGCAAGAACCAATGCAGCTTGCATTCCAACACAATATGAAAGTAGCCGATGTAAAAACAATATTAAACAGATTCATTTTTCTTTTAAATGAAGAAAAAGCTGCTCTTAGTCTCAGACCGGTCCGTATTTGTAAAATACCAGAAAAAAGTCCAAATCTGTGAATATCTTGCCAACTTTCAATACGGATCGACTCTTTGGACAATGGAAATAATGAGGTAAGATGTGCGCAGGCTCCTCCATAGTTCGGTAAAGTTATTAGATATTCAGATTCAGACTGACGGACCGGTCTGCGAGCTGGACGCATTGGTCTTAATGTGCCGGTAATGATGCTTGTAGCTGGTTGTCATCTACGCTCCACTACGGTTACCGAAGGGGGGCGTTTGTTTTTTCACAACGTTTTATCTCATAATTTATTTTTATCCCCTTACATTAGTGCAGAAATGGGCTTCTATAGTTGTGTGAATGCATCACTCCAGCCAATCCAAAGACGCCGTTTGTAACCAATCAGGTGTAGAGACCATAGTGACTGGCTCCGCCCCCTCACTGTCAGAAAGAGCAACAGCAAGCGCGTAGAAAACACCTTCGAGCGCGAGCAGAGACTCACCTGGCGAGCGAGAAAGTTCACGCTCCGCGCGAGACACTTTTTATTTTTTTTATTCCGATTATTAACTTTTCTGAATCGAGACCGAAACGTTCTAGAGAGAATCGAGAGAAATCGAAAAATCCCTACTACCCCTAGTAGTAGGGAAGGGAGGGTCAGAGGGACTATAAAGGACACTAAATGGAAGAATACACCAATAGATGGATGGATGGAGGAAACAGAAGGCTGGATGGCCAGTTGATGATGCGGTGCAGGCCTTGCACGCGGTGTTTACGCCGCATGGATCCAAGCCATATTGTGCCACTTTTAGGCGGGGGGCCTAACACTACACAATGTGCTCCGGACTTCCATGGTGATCCGCTCTTTGATTTTGATGTCTTGGATAGATGTGGCATGTGATGAAAGGCAGAGTGGGGTCACCTTATTGTCAAGATTTTTGTCTTCTTGGCCAAAGTGTTGAACAGATGGTTGGACCAACAGTTCGTCCAAATGCGCCAGACTGTACAAAAAAGCCACTGAAAACGGCTCCTCCAGGCATCCCATTGTTCTGGGATCAGACAACACCAGATCTGCGTCCTTCGAGGCGAGCTGTGTTTTATTGTGATGCCCCATCAGAACATGGCGGACTGCATGCTGGACACAGCTTTCAATATTCTGCCTTGTGCTCTTTTCCAACTTGCGTGACATACATGGTTATGAAAATCATGGTGACGGGTCCACTTCAAGTCACAAGTCAGTGTCTTCATCCTGTGCTCAGTATGTACAGTGAGAAATGGATCCGCAGACGACTTCTAACCTTCACCCTCAGCTGCTTTGTTAGCGTCTATCAGTCCATCAGTGGGATGGAAATGGAAATGAAAGACATGACCAAGGAATGGACACAGGACGCTTTGGTGGTGGTGTGATAAGATATCTGATGGATGAAAAACATCCATGCCTCATGGGTTTTACGGTCATATACCCCAACCCTAACTCATCATCACAACCTAAGACAATAATATGACTATGAATACAACTTGATTGTGAGGCAAAGCACAATGGTAAATCATTGTAGAAAGTCATAGAACTGCGTGCAGAACAGATATTCACTCCTCCATGTACCAGAAGAAAAGCATCCAGACTGCTCACCAAAGTCAGCGAGTTTGAGCTCTCCAGTGTCGCTGATGAGCAGGTTCTGTGGTTTGAGGTCGCGGTGGAGGATGTACCTCTGGTGGATGTAGGAGAGGCCTCTCAGTAACTGGAACAGGAACAGCTAGAAGACAGAATGCATGGACTGTTTTTACAGGGGAACATGGAACACTGACATATCTCTATGCAACATCCTGAAGGCTGATCTGATAATGAGGACATGGATAATTCACACGAGACACCTCCTTTAATAATCACCTTGGGCGGCTGCTGAGGTCAGAGGTGTTTTACAAGAAAAGGCACACAGAAGTCAATGGAGAGCCATACGTTAAACATATCAGTCTCTCCACGTGGACTAATGAAGAGTGGTAAAACATCATAGCTTCACTGCTGCACGGACTCCGAAGGGAAAGGAGTAGAGAAACCGTCTGAGCCCTGCTGACTGTTGTCTCAGCTACTTGTCTTATGTGTGTTGAGATTGAGTCATAGTTATAACTTTATACCAACAACGAATAAGCCGTAACAAACACTCTTTAAGAGGTAAAACACCACAGCAGCTGGCGACACATGAACAATTTGAAACACTAATATTTTTACATTTAAAAAAATGACCCCGCCGAACTGCATCCTGGGTACAGCTCACAACAAGAAGTAATGGCTGATAACACGGAAAAGGAGAGATTACAGATGCACCAACACAACTTGTGCCCACGAGAGGAGCTCAGTCTGTTTGGAGGGTTTTGGGTTTTGGAAAATCCAACGTAAGTGAGATCAGAAAAACATTTATTGCAAAGTCTGTTGAGCCTCTGATGACAACACTTAGCAGCCACAACAAGCTAACGTGCTAACGAACTAACACGCTAAAACACGCGGTCCTTTTCGGGGTCAATGCATTAATGCGTTTACTTGAAAAAAGCAATAGTCACATACCAGGACGCCGTCAGAATCTTTCTAAATAGCGTGCAGCCCTACTGTGTCCTACAGATGTTTTTCTACTTGATTTGACTCATTTTGTTAATGAATCACTGAATGTGATCTCTCACTGAAAGTGTCCTTCACCAGTAAGACATTTACCTCACTGAACCACTCTAAATGAGTTCTTAATACCAGTGCTATTTGTAAAAGCAGACACAAATAGGGATTTGCTTATAATAATAAATAATACATTTTATTTATAACGTGGTGGAGACACCAACGGATCTCAGAGAAGCGTATGCACATAGTCTACCATAGACCAAAAGGAGAATAAATACAATTAGGAACACGAGTCAAAGATCACCTTTTGGAAGGTAACATGTCAGGGACAGTAAGCACGGTAGCTGCACATTCTGAGCCCACTGACAGGCCTGAGAGGGGACCTTTAGTCAGAATAGGTCATGTGAGCATTGGGAATAGTCATTTTAACAGAATCCCGATGTTACAGTTTCACTGTCTCGGTCTGTTGAAATTATGTATTAGAGCAAAAAAAGAAGTTAGGTGAAAAAACTGCAGGTCTAAAACAATGAGTTATTCAAAAGTTTAGGATAAGATTGTGGCTTGGTTTTGAAAGTAGATGGTGAGTGGCAAGTAAACAGGTGACCACATTGTCCATTTCTTCTCCTCTGCTTGTCCCTGCTTCTGTGCTCTTTCCCAGCAGGGCTCCTTTCAGTGGGTCAGACTCACTTATTACAGTTGGCTGAGCTTGTCTGGCAAACAGATGCCAACTGACCAGGCTGAGCTTGTTGGAGTATATATACGTAATTCAGAATTATTATTATTATTAGAGATTTCAGTTGATAAAAAAATGACTAATTGATCTCACATTTTGAAATTCATTAATCACAATTAAAAGTTTGTTTTTCCCATGAAGTCTAAATCTGATAAAAAGAGTAATCACTTTATAATGCATGTATTTTAGACACTGTTGTTTAACTGTATTTTCTTTACACACAAACTCCACACGCGTGATCATCTTGGAGGCAGAATTCCACCGGGTGGAACATGTTGAACTAGCGACTCTTCCTGTTGTCCTCGTGCACTTTGTTCGAAGTGCCAACTGTGTCCCCACATTTAGCAGGATGTTTTCAAACCACCGTCTTTTAGGGACACAGTGGTGGTCCTCTGCAGGGCAGATGTTGAGATGGGGGTAGCTTAGCAGCTACCTTAGCCTAGCAGCTAGCTTAGCCTAGCAGCTAGCTTGGCCTAGTGGTCCGTTTGCCACTCGACCCTCTTCTGTTTGACACGTGAAGGAATTCCTCTCATCAGTTCTCCTGTCAGGGGTCAACGCGCACCAGAAGTAAATAAGGGTGTTAAAATATGTATCACAATAATCTCATGGATTAACCTGTTGATTTAGACAGCCCTAATTGTTAAGAGCCTTTTGATATTCAGAAAAGTGCATCTGAATGGCCGCCTCAAAAGGCTGTCAGCACTTCCAATGCGCTGTTCCCATCAAAGTAAAACCATGAGAAACGTCTTTTGAGAAAGGTTTGATGTTTGAATCAACGAGCTGACTGAAGATTCTTTCCTTTTTTTGTTTTATTACTGTGGCTTTTCAGAGCTCTATTTGATATACATGAGTAAGCACACATTTCAAATGCTAATTTTCCGCACTGCAGTTCCTCTCTCAGGAATAGTAAACTGTTGACCCGATGACTCCTGATGCCAGACAGGGCCCGTCCTTGATTGGGCTCCATGGGGCTTAATCAGCCTAATTGGCCGGGACTACAGTATCAGTGCGAGAGGAATGAGGGGGGAATGCTGGAATTGAAGAAAAGAAATCAAAGCCTGGCTCGTGCACGCCTCATTCTGTGTTGATTGGCACGCCTGCAGGGAGGTGTGTGTTATTGGGGGGGAGCTCTGCCAGATCTCAGAGAAAAACAAAAGCAGTTTGATGAAGTAGTCTGTAGTTGTAGTCTGTAGAGAAGGTGAATGCTGCAGCTGCCTTGGAGGAGGCTGAAGGACGTGTTGCCATGGAAACGTACTGACGCGACAAACCCCGGTTCATACATTGAGAAGGACTTCCGGTTCATTTGAATACGTAGAGCAGGGGTGTCAAACTCAATTGCACACGGGGCCAAAATTCAAAACACACTTCAGGTCGCGGGCCGAACAGAATAAACATTTATTGAACACACTAAAACTAAAATTTTCTTTTAACATAAATATAAATACAAACAGACAGGAATTTTATTCTGCAATAAATAAACTTAAACTTAACTTAACTTAAAATATCTTGCTCTCCATAAAAATATATCCAGTCAAAATTATACAAGTTAGAAATATGAACATGCTGCAAAACAAAACAAAACCTGGAACTATAAATAAAATGTGTGCTTTTCAGAAATAACAAATAACGATTCAAAACATTCAGTTTTCTTTGCTCTTATGCCATTTTATCAGAGCTGGATGCTTTGTCGCAAAGTTGGTTTATGTTTGGCGTGAGGTCCTGTGTTGTGGAGACTCTCAGGATGGACTGAAGGTTCATCAGTGAGAAGACTCTGGTGTGCTGTTTTGTTTGTCTTCTCACACAGATATGTGCTACCAAACACGCACAAGGTTCGAGCCGCATGTAGACGGAGCTGGGACATTGCTGCGGGAATGGAGCGAATAAACAGTGTCGTACTTTGTCTTTAGTGTCCCATCACACTGCAGCTCAATCAGCTCCATCTGAATCTGCACAGGTGCAGTTTCCACGTCGACGGCAAATGGGTTGCGAAACAACTCAAAATTCTTTTTTTGTTCCTCAAAATCACCAAAGCGCCGTGCGAACTCGGCAAGGCAGCTGAAGCGCTGCATTATGGGATCTGTAGTTTATTTTGTTATCAGCGCTTCATATCGTCGGGCCATTGGTAACAATAATATAAAGTGATCTCGCGGGCCAGATATAATTGCATGCCGGGCCGGATATGGCCCGCGGGCCTTGAGTTTGACATATATGACGTAGAGGAAAGCAATGGAGGGACTTAATGTCTGCGCTAAATACTTCACCTTGACTTTACCTTCCTTCCACCAACAGGGAACGCCAGGGATGGCAAGTTGCACCCTTTCCACAGTAGTTTATGTCCACTTAATGATTTGTGTCTCAACTTGACTCTAATAAGACAGATGATGGAGACCAACACTCACATACTGTCGTAGAACGTAAATGGATTAAATAACCCTCTTAAATAATGACAAAATGGAGGACGGAGAAGGAACAGATGATTCATATACACGAGACACACTTATCGCAGGCAGGAACATGAGAGGCTTAAGAGGTTTGGATACATAAATATATTGTATAGCTCATTTCACCAGGCTAGGAGAAGGGGAGTGACTGTTGTATCTAACTCAGTGAAATTTAAATGTCCAAAGAATCCATTAATAAGGAAGATATAGAACTGTTAAAGGAAAGATGGAAAACAAAAACGTATATTGGTATGTGTTCACGCCCCACCTGACTGTCAAGTCCTTCTTTGAAACCTTACTTGATGGCTTTATTATTGAAACGTAGGGAATACTAATATGTGGAGGTGACTTTAACAATGCTAATCCTGTCACAAAGCAGTCATTACCCTACTCAAAGCGTTTGGTATAGTTGATCCCACCAAAGGTTATTCGACACACTACTCTGCACACAGCACAAGTTATGCTAGAATTGACTTCTTTTCTGTGAAATAAAAAGGACGTGTACAGAGTTATGGAGGGTGAAGTTGCAGCAGCAGACGTGTCGGACCACAGTGCGGTTCATCTCATGTCACAGTCGAGGCTCTCCCATTTGGTTTAAGAACCGAGCAGAACCAACTTCCATCAGTAATATACTACAATGTGCACTAATCCGTTTGAAAATACTTCAAACAACTCCAACAAGTTATATCATATGCAAATTAGTTCCAAAAATGTGCACACGTTCAATGCCCCCTTAACTTTGACGTGTTTTTTTTATTTTAAACAGAAAAATGATGCAGATAGACAAATTAGTTATTACACTTTTTATCATGGGTGAAAAAAACAGGCTAGGAAGCCGAGGCAAGAAGAGGTTACACCTCTGATCAAGAATACCTGGAATAAAATGTGTATCATAGGCTATTCATCGCAGTGGCCTGAGAAATCTGTACTTCGTACCACTTTAAATCACAACCGGTGGCAACATCTATCTATATT